ATATATATATATATATATACATACATACATACATACATACATATACACGCATAGAGGTGAGAAATTTTAACTAAAATTTAAATAAATATAAAATTTTTGTATATTTATGTATACATACATACACACAGACATATATATATATATATATATATATATATATATATATACATACATACATACATACATATACACGCATAGAGGTGAGAAATTTTAACTAAAATTTAAATATTACATTGGCAACTACCTGAAATACATAAGCTTAAGTTGAAGTACTAAAATTAAAGCTAAATAAATAAAATGAAAAAAAAAGTTCAAATATTTAACTAAATAAAACTATTTAAAAATTGAAAAAATTACAAATCACAAAACAAAATAACCAAAGCTTACCCTATAATTAAAATAAAAACTGAAAATATAAAAATAAAAGCTAATGATTCATCATTCATCAAAAACTATAATAGTATATAAATAATACTAAAATAACAATAAATGGCAACTGGTGGCTAGATAAGGCTGCATTACTTACAACATCAGCTTAAAACAACGATTAAAAAGCTATTTTGCTATTGGTTAACATAATTTTGGTTAACCCCCGCCTACTTGGCCTAGATGACATCATCTGAAAAGGAAAGCCATTTCAAAGCAAATTGTTACATTATTAAACTTCTTTTTCCCTACATGCACTGATGAATCACGCACAGTAAGTTCAGGAACATGTTTTAAGAAAGTAAAAGAGTCCGTTTTGAATTCACGTTGACTTTAAATCATGAATTTATCACCAGCTGGCCTGTGTCAAAACCGCTAGAACTTCAAGTTCACATGCAGTAGATCCAGTCTGATACATAAATCTTTCTATTTCAGAACTCGGCGTATCGCTATAGTATCCCAGCAGGCTCAGGGTCACTCCTGTCCGTCATTCACAGATGACCTCAGTCTCAAGGAGAAGAAGAGAGATATCAGTCATGGAGAGCATACTGTATCTGAGGGCAGAGTTTACTGAGGACATGCCACTGTGACTCTGCATTTTCCACTTATCTTCCTATGACAGTTCCTTTCACAATACCTGCGCAGGTGACACTCAACAGCAGGAAGCCGTGTGCTGTCTGTGCTTCAGTCAATGGAAGAGGAAAGGGCAGTCACATAGCTCAACAGGTGAGAGCGATCGATTATGCAACGCTCTCGTACACACAGACAGTTAAGCCTGTGCGAATCAGGAAATATTATACTTTTTCTTAAGAAATCCCGGCTATTTTAGTTCTTCCAGGTTACGGATTCAAAATTGCACTAATCTTAAGTACCATAGATTTTTAACAGTGTTGTTATCTTTAACTTAAACTAGTACATTTTTGGTAATGAAAAGAAAAAATAAATAAATTAGATGAAAAACTTTAAATATAAAAAAAAATTGAAATGTCACCTGCATGTTGTCACTATAAGCTAAATTAAAACTAGTAAAAAAAATTTTTATAAAAATTAAAATAAAATAAAATATGAAAAGCCACCTTCAGTGAACATTTTAAATGTCACCCTGGGAACAAAGTGAAATAAATATGTTTAAGTACTAAAGTCGAATAATAATAATAATAATAATAATAGTTGAATAAGTTTCAGTTCTAGAATTACTAAAGAAAATAGATGAATAAAAATAAAACAGAAATAAAAAACTGATAAATGATAAAACCACAAAATTACTACAACTAGAATAATAAAAAATAAAAAAAATAAATAAAAGTTAATTCAAAATAATAATAAATAGTATATTGATAGTATATATAATATAATAGTATATTTAATCCTAAAATAACATTGCTGTTTAGACATGGTTATACCATGATATTCTTGATAAAGTAATTTTTGGGACATGTACCATGATAATACCATGATTTTAGACATACAGTATATACCATGGTATTCTTTGAGTACCATATCAATACCCTAGTATAGATATATCAAAAATGGCATCACATGGTATTGCTGGTACTTTGAAGTACACCATGGTACTCTAAGGTAATCCTTACTATAGACTAAATGATACTAAATGAACTACCAGTGTTTTCTGTAAGGGTTAATTTACCAGAAATGAAAGTTAGTGCTTATTAAAGTGTAAAAATCTAAATGTCCTTAGCACTGCATAAGAAACCAGACACCACATGATCCATTCACTCACATCTGAAGAGCGCTATTGGTCAAAAAAAATCTGATCGCTGCATGCAGCTGGTTTTTTTTTGGTTTTTATGACAGCACAAGCTGTACTGAACTAAAAAGAGGTCGAATCCCCTGCATTATATCAGCCACTGGTTTCTGGAACACTAAGCAACGCACACATTGCTTCTGGACGCTAAGGAGCTAATCGGTTTTGACAGGAGCTTCTTGGAAAAAGATTACATTGACCACTCAAGCTACGGCTTCAGGGAACCTGTAAAGAGGGCGACTTAAAGCAGCACGGCTTGGCAGTAACATTAGAACGAATAGAGTGAACTACATCATGTGTCAGCCTCTGGAGACCCCATGAGATATTTCATCCACTTAAAACAAAGACAGTTCTTGGGTTTCAGCGAAGAACCGTCTACTTGTTATACACTTTTACAAATAAAGGTTCTTTATTGGAATCTTTGGTTCCATGAAGAACCTTCAACATCCATGGAATCTTTAATTTCCACTAAAGGTTCTTTAGATTATTAAATGTTCTCAGTACCAAGAAAACTGGTTCAAGAACTGTTCACTGAAACGTTTGAGGAACCCAAAATGGTTCTTCCATGGCATCAATGTGAAAACTCCCTTTTTGGGTCTTTATTTATAAGAGTTGATTCTTCAGAGAGCCAAATAGTTCTTGATGTTTCTTTGTAAGTTCTTGTTCTTCAATCAAGAACCAGTTTTGGTTCTTGGGTTGCTATATAGTTTTTTGGGGAGCCTTTGGGCTTTAGAAATGAGAAAAATACATATTTATCTCCAAAAAAAATTCATATTTTTTGAGTCAATAATATTGACCCAAACAGGTTCTCTGATGGAATTAAACAGTTTTGGTTACTGTTGCTGATCAAGAACAGTTTTTGGCTCTTTAAGGTATTGGTTTCTGGATTCTGAAGCACCAAGTTCTCAGATGTTTTAAAGAAATGTAGAATAAAATGTTCACTGAGAGTAAAAAAGCTCTTGATGTTTCGTTGCAGGTTCTAGGCAAAATGGTTCTTGTTTATCTAGAGCTCTTCAGTTGGTTCTTTGGAAAGCAATTGTTGGTTCTCCAGATCAGCATGATTTCTGGGCTCTAATTTTTTTTTTGAAGTTTTTCTAAAGAAGTAGAGAATAAAACGTGATTGTGGAACCTGAACAGGTTCTCTGACGGAACTAAACACTTTTGGTTCTTGGTGCTGATCAAGAACAGTTTTTGGCTCTCTAAAGTCCAGCATATTGGTTTCTGGGTTCTGAAGCACCAGGTTCACAGATGGTTTGTTAATAAGCAGAGAATAAAAGGTGATCATGAAAACTAAGCAGGTTCTCTGATGAAATTAAACTATTTTGGTTCTTCATGTTGATCAAACACAGCTTTTGTTTTGTATAAACCAACATATTGGTTTCTGAAGTGCCAAGTTCATAGATTAGTTTCCAAAGAATTGAAAAATAAAAAGAAAATTTATTGGTATCAACCATTGATACCAATAAAGAACCTGTTTTTTTTTTAAAGAGTTTTCATCTGTGGTTCTGTTCAAGAAACCATTATAAATGTTGAACATTTAGGATGTCCATGAGCTGTCAAACGTATGCAGATGTCCAGTTTAATGTCTTTAATAGATAATAACCTCCGTCCCTGAAACTTGAAGCCCTAACCGCAGACTCGGAGCAGATCTGTTGATCTGTCCTGAAGGATACTGTTACACCTTTACTTTTTGGTGAAGAAGCAGGACAGATGCAGGGTGGGAGGGCTGTTCTCAATGCACTCATGGAAACACAACCGATCTCGACTGGGAAGATTGCATGCAAATAAAAGTACTCACTTGTTTTTGTCGCTCATGTTGACCGTGCCGCGCGCGTCCTCTTCTACCAGAGACGCTCTTACTTCTCCTTATGCTGAATTCAAGTGCGTCCAGGCTTCAGAAAGACTTTCAAAATACGCGCAAGTGCGAATCCGCTCCAAGTTCAGCGTGTCTGGATGCGTAAAGGCAGGAGCACATACAGAGACTCACTTCTGTTTGTCTGGAGCCAGAGATAATTTGCTGCTGCTTCTACTAACTACGATGCATTCAGTCACTCCAGCAGTCATAACGCAACAGGCTCACGAACTCTCTCCGTCCCGTCTGAAAACGCTCCACGTTGCGCGTAAACCAGCCCGCGTCGCGCTCGTCTTGAGTCTTGTTCCATATTTAAAGATCTCGCCCTCCTCCAGCGTGACGCAGCAGTGGGAGGATGAGACACTAGAGGTCAGCATGTGAGATGCAACAGCAGTGAATACCTGCATCCGCACCGAAACACTGAACACACCTGAAAAATACTCAAGTTCGCAGTTAGGAAACCTTTCTGCAATATGTACAGCATATGAATTGAATTAAACACGCGTAAGTGAAGCATAAAAGTTTGCTTTTATGCTGTGTAACATGACTTTAGCAAGCAATATATAGGCTACGTTTAGATATACATAAAATGAATATTTAATGTATAGTATACACAGATGAGGTGAAGCATAAAATTGTCTGAAAAGTTATTTTATGCTGCGTAACTTGGCTTTAGCAAGCAATATATATGTATATATATGTGTGTGTGTGTGTATGCATCTATATATATAGGCTATATATATATAATGTATATACAGATATACATTAAATTAGATGGTCAAGCATATATATATATATATATATATAGTTAGTTCATGTTAGTTGTGTGTGTGACAGTGCATTAACTAATGTTAACAAGCACAACTTGCTGAAATAAACATTAAGATTAATAAATGCTGTAGAAGTATTGTTCAATCTTAGTTCGTTAACTAATGTTAACTAATGAACCTTATTGTAAAGTGTTACCATTAATATAGTCAAAATAATACATAATATAACAATATAACTTAACAAACTGGGTTTTAATGTTGGAAATATTCAGATAATCTTTAATGCTCAGTAATATGACTTAAGTATATAAATGAAATCAATACACATATTATAAGACTATATATGATTATTATGATATAACATAAATTAGATGTATCTATCTGTATCTATAAGAACTTTTCCTTGAATGATTTGTTTATATTTACAAAACCATGAAAACCCCAAAGATAAAGATGATTCTTGAGCACCTGATTCTTGCAGACATACAAATATTTGGTACTGTAGACTTGTTCAACATTTAGTAGAATGTTCCAAATCATTTAGACAAACTCCAGGAAAGTCATCCAGTTCAAGTTTCACACATTTCATGAAAACCTTGTTGTACTTACTGTACTTAAAATCCTGAGTAATGATTGTGAATCCTACAGTTCTTTCTCATTTATGACAGGAAATGATGACTTAAATTTCAAGGAATAGCATGTTTCTTGTTTTTAAAGAGCTGTAGAACTACGCCACCAACTGGCCGTTTAGGACTATCAGCATACACTTGTGCACATCACAGTATCACACACTCATTTACAGGAACAACTTTCCCAAAAAACCCCTCAGTATTCACTCTCCCTCATGCAGCTCCTGCATACACACGGGCTTGAAAACACATGAGGGAGACTGAATGACGATTCAGCTGGTTTTGGGTAAACTATTCCTTTAAAGCCACACAAAGAATGCTTTGATTAATGCAGAATGGTTGAATATATATATATATATATATATACACACACACATTACCGTTCAAAAGATTGGGGTCAGTAAGATTTTTCAAAATAAATTAATACATTTATTCAGCAAGGATGCATTAAATTGATCAAAAGTGACAGTAAATGCATTTGTAATGTTACAAAAGATTTCGGTTTCAAAGAAATGCTGTTCTTTTGAACGTTCTATTCATTAAACAAATCTTGAAAAAAAAATTCAGTCTCCACACAAATATTAATCAGCACGGCAGTTTTCAACATGGAATAATTAAATAGGAAATGTTTCTTGAGCAGCAGATCAGCATTTTAGAATGATTTCTGAAGGATCATGTGACACTGAAGACTGGAGTAATGATGCTGAAAATGCAGCTTTGCATCACAGGAATAAATTACATTTTAAATTATATTCAAATAGAAAATAGTCATTTTAAATTGTAATAATATTTCACAATATTACTGATTTTACTGTATTTTTGATCAAATAAATGGAGCCTTGGTGAGCAGAAGAGACTTGGATTTGTTCTTTAAAAGAAATAAAGGTGATTATTAATTGTTTTATTATTTAATTCATAGAAAAGTAGAAAAGTAAACAAATTTAAATAACAAAAACACTGATAAGTGCTAAATGGACACCACCGTTTCACACAATTTCATAGTTTCAAAATGTAAACAAAAACAAAAAAAAACACAATGTTACATTATTTGGCCAACATGAACCTTTTCTCATCGTAATCACAGGCTGCTCAGAAATTCCTTCACCTAGGGAAAAAAAAATTTAAATCACCTTTTAAATCAAAATGGTTTCACTTTAATACATTTATTACTGCACGGTGTGATGCGTTCATGGGCATGCAAAGAAAGTGTGTCTGTGTTCCACATTGGGAATAATGTGTATGAATGCTACAAAGTGTGTGTGTCTAGAGTATAAATCATGTATAACATGCTTTTTCCACAGTATATAATGGTCCCTGTATTGCACCCTCATCATAAGATGCAACTTCAGTTCCGCCACATTTGACAAATATCACTCAGACTTTCACTCATCACATGCTCTGGGTGATATGCTAGATTAACTTGCAAAAAGCAAAAATGTAAATTCATCATTTACTCACCCCCAAGTCATTCTAAGAATCATCAAACATAATGAGGGTGAGTAAATAAAAAAAAAAGACAGAATATTCACTTTTTTTATTTTACTGTGTGTGTCATACCTTCTCAATCATATCAGCACACTTGATCTGGTTGTCTTTAAAATCGTCATTGACATCCAGGGTAAGAACCGGCACTTCATTCAGATACTCAAACTCCATACTGCACACACACATGCACAATGATGTATCATTTATTTATTTGTAATATATAATTAATTACTTTTTAAAAGAAAGAATTACATTTATCTTGCTACATTTTATATTATTAAAAAGTTTAATATAATAAAAAATATATATATATAAATTACTTTAAGAAAGCTATTTTTTAATAATCCTTTAATAATCCTTTTTTACATCCTTAAAAAAGTAGTATATTAAAAAAATTATAAATTAATCAATTAAATTAAATGTATAATAAAATTATATATACATATATATATACATTTCTTTTTGTATAATCTCATTATTTATTTTGGATGTGATTAATCGCGATTAATCGTTTGACAGCACTAAAATTAATAAATAAAAAGATTAAACAATATATAACAATATAATAATTATTTTTGTATCATCTCGCTACATTTTACATCCTTAAAAAGTAAATACATATGAAACCATTATATTTATTAATAAATGTTTCTTTTTGTATAATCTCATTACAATTTACATTAAAAGTTAACAAAAAATAAGTAAATGTACATTCATTAAATAAAATGAAAAATTTAATATATACATCTATGTCTCTATATCTACCTATCTATCCATCTATCTAAATATATATAATTAATAGCAGATATTATGA